TTCAAATCTTTATGATAATATAGCTGGATAGAGTATTCGTGATGAGATATTCCTTTTGTTGAGCTTTTGTATTATATCTCTCAATTCTGTTCTAGTTGGTAGAGTCCCATTTGATAGATTTATAGATCTCATAAGCTTTGCTTTGTATGTAAATTCCGTTCTTGATCTTGTTGCTTTCAATAGTCTATTTTTATCTTTTGATTTTATCTTTTTTAGCGCAGTGTGTTTTAGAGTTTTTATAGTTGCATCTATTTCTGCTGGGACCCTTTGAACCTCTCAGATGTCAGTGCATGTATTCTTCAACTCCAAAAATTCTTGCTATGATTTAATTAGCTAGTGTTTCTTCATCAAGTTAGCTTTCCTGTTGATGCTCCTCTCCTCTCCATCCCCTTCTCTTACCATTCCTACTTATTATTTCTCTCTCCCTCTCTCCTCCCTCACATACACTCCTAAGTTCCTTCTTACCTCTGGGACTTTTCTCATTGCTCTTCTGCCCAGAGTAATCCTCCCCAGTACCACTTTTTCTGGATTGCAAAGGAGATTTTATCTCCTTCGAGGTCTATTGTGAGTACCTATCGATGACTGACACTTTTGCACTAGCATTCTATTTAGCCCACCATGCTGGAACTCATGTTTACCTTAATTCACAATTATGAGGCTCATTTGGTTACTTAACTACTGTCTCTGTGCAGGGACACCAACTACTCTGGTGACTGTGTCTTAATGTCATCACTTTATATGGGGATGCCATATAACATTAGATCATTTTGAAAAAGTAATTACTAATAAATATGTAGAATAGTTAATCACTGAATAAAAAATTGAGAGAAAATTTCTAATTTTAAATTAGTGACATTTTAAAAATAATTTCCATTTTGGATCCTTATCAATAGCTCTTAGAGCAACTGTTGGTATATAAATGGGCTGACCATGAATTGGCATTGAGTATTATATAATTTAAATATTGAGAAAAAGTAGGGGGTATGGTGCTGCCAGCAGGTAAATTTGTACCTGTGAGGTGAGTGCATCAGCAGCCTGATGTCACCGTCAGACTTTCAGATACCCCAAAATTGCTGCTGTGCCTTTGGCCAGACCACAAAAACTTGGGACAAAGTTTACCAAGAAAGTAAACAGCCAAAAGTTAGGTATGTGGGAGACACACCCACAAACCACCTCTGGTTCAGCTATATAATTGGAGGCATGGCCTCTCTGGTTCCCGATTGAACTGCTTAACGGTCATGATTCCAGAGACTCAGAAACGAATCTCAGAACCCAGTGGCTTTTGGCAGAAATGCATCCTGTTCCTGCAGTAGGTTACTGGCGCTGGGCCACTCCAGGTGGGAATAGGTTTTGTGCCTTGGCCTGTTCCCCCTGGTGGCCTAGTGACCGCCATCCTCCAGAAGCCACTGGACAGTCAGGTTTGGGCCTGCAGTGATGACACACACGGAGCCTGACCAGCTGGGGGTGGAACCGGCCCTTTCCTCCCCATCCCAACGAGAACCCAAGTCACCGCCTACAAATGGCTTCTCTGGCTCCTGATCAAGCTGATTAATGGCCATGATCCCAGAGACTCAGAAACAAATCTCAAAACCCAGAGACTTTTGGCAGAAATGCATCTGGACCACATACACGGCCATGGCTCCAGAGGCAAAAGGACTTAATCCAGAGCCCAGCAGCTTGTGTCAGAAAAGTGAATGGACCATGCATTAAACTATGGCGCCATGCCTCCCCGGGAGAGAAAGGGTGTTGCTCCCTTCCGTCTTTCTCCCAGAAAAGTGAATAGACCTTGAGCCCTGGGGGAGGGGAAAAGGCGAAAGGGAGCAGCATTCTTTCCCTCCCAGGGAGGCATGGCGCCATAGTTTAATGCATGGTCCATTCACTTTTCTGACACAAGCTGCCAGGCTCTGGATTTAGTCCTTCTGCCTCTGGAGCCATGGCTGTGCCAGAGCGCCGCTTATTGGGGACAGCTTGTGACCTCGGTAGGGCGTGATGGATGAGCTGATACCGTCCCCCTTCCCATGAGACTGCAGTTGCCTTGTCACTGCCGGCTCATACCTGGCTTTCCAACCATCTTTGAGGCGGCAGTCGCCTTGCTGCCGGAGGGGGGAGGGTAGAGAAAGGTGGAAGGGAGCAACACCCTTTCCCTCCTGGGGAGGCATGACGCCATAGTTTAACGCATGGTCTATTCACTTTTCTGCCTCAAGCTGCCAGGCTCTCTGGATTAAGTCCTTTTGCCTCTGGAGCCATGGCCGTGCCAGAGAGCCATTTGTGGGGGGCAACTCGTAACCTTGGTAGGGCGTGAAGGACGAGCTGGTACCATACCTCTTCCTAGGAGACTGCAGTTGCCCTGTCACCGCCGGCTCATACCTGACTTTCCAATAAGCTTTGAGGCGACAGCCACCTTGCTCCTGGGGGGTGGGGGGGGCAGAGAAATGCGAAAGGGAGCAACACCCTTTCCCTCCTAGGGAGACATGGCGCCGTAGTTTAATGCATGGTTCGTTCACTTTTCTGACACAAGCTGCCAGGCTCTGGATTAAGTCCTTTTGCCTTTGGAACCATGGCTGTGTATGCAGTCCAGATGCATTTCTGCCAAAAGCTGCTGGGTTTTGAGATTTGTTCTGAGTCTCTGGGATCATGGCCATTAATCAGCTTGATCAGGAGCCAGAGAGGCCATTTGTAGGCGGCGACTTGGGTTCTCATTGGGATGGGGAGGAAAGGGCCGGTTCCACCCCCAGCTGGTCAGGCTCCGTGTGTGTCATCACTGCAGGCCCAAACCTGACTGTCCAGTGGCTTCTGGAGGATGGTGGTCACTAGGCCGCCAGGGGGAACAGGCCAAGGCACAAAACCTATTCCCACCTGGAGTGGCCCAGCGCCAGTAACCTACTGCAGGAACAGGATGCATTTCTGCCAAAAGCCACTGGGTTCTGAGATTCGTTTCTGAGTCTCTGAGATCATGGCCATTATGCAGTTCAATCGGGAACCAGAGAGGCCATGCCTCCAATTATACAGCTGAGCCAGAGGTGGTTTGTGGGTGTGTCTCCCACATACCTAACTTTTGGCTGTTTACTTTCTTGGTAAACTTTGTCCCAAGTTTTTGTGGTCTGGCCAAAGGCACAGCAGCAATTTTGGGGTATCTGAAAGTCTGACGGTGACATCAGGTTACTGATGCAGTCGCCTCCAGGTACAGATTGACCTGCTGGCAGCGCCATACCCCTTATACATTCTTTTAATACAAGTAAGGTACCAGATGGAAAAAACTGTCCACTACGTATGAATGATAGTGCTATGATAAGTAATTCTGTAAAGACATCTTAATGTCTGTGGCTGTATAAAAGTATTGATCTTGGATGGGTGTTTCAGACTGAAACCTGATCATGAGAGCTTTGTAATTGTGTATTTCATGGTGATTAGCAGTGTAGCACTGTCCTCCTGTTGTTCATCCATACGCTCGAGCGAGCACCAGTAACGTCTCACAACAAATTGTGAGACTTGTTGTTACTGTTTTTGGTATATTGAATACATCATGGGAAGCTTGCCAGGCTTTGCCGTGTGGGCCAAACACTCTCAGTGGCTTGCTGGGCTCTCCGAGAGAGATGGAGGAATCGAACCCAGCTCGGCCATGTCAGCCGTGTGCAAGGCAAATGCCTTACCCATAGAAACAATAGCATATGCTGTGGCTCCATACATTATAGCCATATGACAGTGATCAAACTACAGAGTTGAGATTTAAGAATTGCAAATGTAATTTTAAGAAAACTGGACTACAGAATATGAAGGATAGTCCACTATGCAGACCAGACCACAACTTCTCTGCAATTTTTAGAATGATTAATATGAATATTATAATACTAACACTGTGTCCACTTTATAGAAGATATTCAGTGGTTCATCTCACTTGACTCTGTTCCTTTAAATTTGAGAAAAGCCAATTAATTTTACCAGATAGACTATTAGAAGTATTTATATTAACTTTCTTTGGTTACATATTGAAAACTAAATCTATAATGATAAAGTAATTTTACTTCCATACATCCACTTTTGTGGTAAACAAATATCAAAGGATATCCAAAAGCTGAGTTGTATAATTAATTGTTGCTATTTCTCAAGAACGTTATACTACTATCCAACTATCCATTGAGACAACTCCCAAAATATTGGACTCATTATTCCATTCTGCCTTGTGAAAGATGATCATGTAGAATCATTTTTAATATTATAATGCAAATAAAATTACTGAATGATTTTTAAAAATTTTTAAAAAAAATTTATTTATTTATTTTGAATACCCATCGCTCCACCAGTGACCATTTCCCACCACCGCAGATCCCAGTAACCCTCCCACCCCCCACTCCCCCAACCCACCCTGTCTCTGTAACAGGGCATTCCCTTTTGTTCTCTCTCTCCTATTGGGTGTTGTGGTTTGTATAAGAGTTTAGCCTGGTTTTCAGGGAGAAACGTTGGATGATTTACTTTCCATTGATTACTTTGTATATAGGGAGATGTTACGTGGCTGCGTAAGCGGCTGCATGGTTTGGGGGAAAAGTCCTGGTTTCCGCATACTTGAGTTATGCTTGTAGAGGCTCCTGGTCACCATGGTTCCATCTGGAGGAGGCGGGATGCAGCACCTACCCCATCTGGGACTTCCGGGTGATCTCGGCTCTTTTTGGGACCTGGTGCATTCTCTGGGAGCTGTGGAGACCCCCCCCCCCCCCCCGCAGCCTTTCTTCTCTGCGGTGGTGTGCTGTAAAGATGGCGCTGGGGGGAGGGTTGTGGGTATGACTTCTGGAATCAGAGGTTACCTGGGAGCCAGGAAGGTCCTGGCAGTTTGGAGGAAAAGTCCTGGGTCCCGCATATTCAAGCTATGCTTGTAGAGGCTTCTGGTCACCGGGATTCCATCTGGAGGAGGCGTACTGGATGGTTTTTAATGTAAAAAAATAAATATTGAGAAAACATTCCTGTAGAGTTTTAATTAATGTGATATTTGTTCTGTTTATTTAAAGTTCATCCACATCCTGGACTGCAACGGACAATCACAAGAAGGTCAACAACCTGGTTTTCTTAAAAGAGATACAGGACTTTGCTAAAGATATCTATGAAATTATGGACAAAGCAAAACGTTTACACAATGTTTGGAAAGAAAGATCCAAGAGTCCAGGCAAGTGAATTTTAAAAATTTTAAATACCTCTTTAAATTTTAAATTTTAAGTGCCTCTTTTTAGAGACAGATTTTGGTGGTCCCTCGTGAGATTTGATAAACAAAAATCATCTTAAAATTCTATTTATATTTTAGTTTTCTTAATGCTGGTAGGCTGCCATTGTGGATCACAGTGAAAGGCATGTTTTTCTTGGTGGAAGTCTACTATCTTGAGCAAGTATGTCCATTGTGATTGGATTTCCACCTTAGGTACTTTGTGTACTTCAAAGTTTCTTGGGTTGCACAGGTTTTTCAGTGTGTCTGTGGTGAGTCTTCACTTTGCCTGCCTAAATGCCTTCTTTCCACTTTTATTGCTGTTTTCTTTTCACTTATTTAAAGACATATGCCTTATCTTACACACACACACATACACACACACATCACACCACACCACACAGGTTCACTCTTGTTCTTGACTTTATTTTCCTATGTTAACAATGTTTAATTCTGATCTTTGATAATTAGCATTTGGTGTCAAAACAATTTTATTTTTGGGGTAGAGCATATATATATTTTCACTATTAAGCATTTTTATTTTCAAATCTCTCAATGTAGAAATTAGAATGAATATAGTTCTTAAAGATCTATGTGTGAAGTTGGTGGACCCCACAGGTGGCTTATGTAAGGCAGGAGGAGAGTGAGATGATCACTTTCTCTGGATCTGCCTCTCCCACTTTGGGAGTCACTGGGAAGCCTAGGGCGGCTAAAGTCTGAGATGATCCCCTGTTTTATACTGGCCAGATGTCCACCTCCATCCTTACAGCCAGCCCCACCAGGTCAAACCACACCTGAGGTCCACTTAGTCTTCTAGGTATGGAGTTGATCCCTGTTACTGGATTCTTGTCTGGTCTTGCAGGAAAGAATTTCAGGCATAGATGAGCAGTGAGGTAAAACAGATTTTATTTGGAGGTTTTTGAAAGGAGGAGGGAGAGAAAGTGGGAGGGGGGAGAGAGAAAGGGAGGGGGGGAGAGAGAGAGACAGAGAGAGAGAGAGAGAGAGAGAGAGAGAGAGAGAGAGAGACAGAGACAGAGACAGAGAGAGAGAGAGTCTGGAGTTGACCACCCGTCAAGGACAGAGAACAGAGCCGATAGTGCGAATCACATAGCGAGGTTTGTTATTCCAGCTAGCCAGGGTCCAAGTATAGCTCGGCGCAGGGGCTTTTAACAAGGACCCAGAGCACTAGGTTCAGCAAGTTTTTATACTTTCATTTTAGCAAGTAAGCATTACTCAGCAAATTTCTATTACCTAAAGAGTACATGTATTTTTTGTTGTTGTTTTGGCCCACAACATCCAGCCCACTTCCTGGCAGTTACATTCCAGAGACTTAATCTCATTCAAGGACCTAATCTTTGACAAAAGCATCTGGTTTTCCTGCTTTAACACTTTGTGACCCTTCACCCTTGTTTATCAGAAATGAACTAGTTTCTTGTTCCCGGAAGGGGCCTAAGTCACTCGGAGGCCACAAAGCCTGTCATGGCAGTTCTCCGGAGAAGCAGATCTAACATAATGTGCTTGAGAGAGAGCTTGGCCTTCTCCAAAAGATGCCTTGAGAGGCCTTTAAGACGGGCTTGAATCCCCAAATGGATTAGCGCCCTACAGAGATGTCTCTGGACCCCAACCATTTACAATATTAGAATTCCAGAAGCGCGACCTCTCATATTCAAAGTGAGCAATAGAAAATAACTTATCTAGAGTCTGTCACTGATAGGCAGGCTTGAATGGTGGTGGGAAAATTTGAGCAAACTATAATACCCAGAAGTAGAGACAGTTTATTGGGGAAATTGTTTGCCACAGAGGCAGGGAGAGGACTGGGATGGTGGATACTATGGACATTGGTGGTGGAAAATGTGCACTGGTGGAAGGATGGATGTTCGATCATTGTATGGCTGAAGCTCAAACATGAAAGCTTTGTAACTGTATCTCATGGTGATTCAGTTAAAAAAAAAAAAGACTGGCTTTTATATGCATATTCTCAGGGTTGCCTGGTCTGGAGTTTTCTGATGGTGGTGGGGGTTTGGCAAATAGCTTTGGTAAATCTTCTTCAAGTCTTTGAATGCAGTTCCTGTCTCCACTGAAGTCCATCACCTCTGTAGCGGGGCCAGCCTTCTCTGGGTCTGTTACTGATGCCAGGTGAAGCCTTTGGTCCTGTTTTCTGCAAAGCTGGCATTTTGTAACTTCAGGGATATTGATATTATTATTTCCCAGGAAATTCATTGACATTGGCCATTGCCTTGGAGGGTGGGGATGAGGGGTGGGAGACCTCCCTGTCTACCTGCCTGCCTACATCAGACAGAGTGAAGCTACCAACTACTCTTCTGTACATAGCCAAGAGTCCTCGCCTACAAGCTGCATTAATAACTATTGATTGTGGTGGAGGAGTTTGCTAGTGGGAGTCGTGTAGTAACAGTATGTCCCCAAACATAAACATTTACACTCTCAAACCTCAACAAAAGTAATAATAAATTAAGCATTATATATACTTAATATAAGTTCAGCATTATATGTCAAGAGTCACTCATTTGCTTACAAGCACCTTAGAAAGTGTTTCATGAACTGATACTGAGGATCCTTGCAGTCTTTTGTCCTTAAGAAGGGGTTGTGCTTCACATGCAGATGAACAAGAGGGGGTGCTGGGACCTGGGTGTAGTGGTCCTAAAGAAATGCAGGAGACCGAGAACTCCAAGGTCATGTTACTTCTCAGTCACTAACTTTATATCCTTACTTTTCCTCTCCCCAGCAGCCCAGTTTCGGTGATTTATTAATAGCATTAACTCTTTTTGTGAGGCATATCAGCACAGTTGCAGCTTAGTGCCATCATGTGTTTGCATGCTCTTATGTAGGGCTGAGGTCCAGACAATCTGCCTCAGAGTCATGCAGGATTCCCGAGAACATTCAGTCTTGACTTTAAAAGGTTGAAGTTTTCCCACAGTTGTAAATTGCACAGCATGTTCTCTTATAATTTACAGTCTTGCCTCTAAGAAAATCAAGGAAGTTTAATAACTCTGTGGTAAGATCTGTGGAGGGAGACCAGTATTTATTTCATATTATGTTGTAGTATGATTCCAAATAGAGTTTGGAATATGAAAATTTCATTTTCTTTCCCTCTTTAATCATTTTCTTTGTTTTTTATTTTCCCTCACTTTTCCAATCTAGCCCTACATTTTCTCAGTGTCTTAAGAGATTGGTAAAGTATTAAATGATTTAAAAAGAAATTAAGTAATTTCAGATGAAACTATATGCAATCAGTGTTTTGGATATCAGAAGTTACTGGCTCCTTTCAGGTTTATTCTTTAGTTAGCATTGGTGGTAAAGTGGTGAGCATTAGCTCATTCTGGATTTATTCTTCAATTATGTACTCTTGGGTCAGGACATTGTTATGGTTGTTTTGAATTTAGTAGAATAGGCACTCAGCAAAATAATTATATTGTTGATTGAACTAATGCATTTGAAATCTTATTTATTACAGATCCGTCTTCCAGTTCCAGTTTTTTAACAGTAAGTATCTTAACAAAATTTTACTTTTAATAATCAGAGACTGAATGGCTGAGTAAAAGCTGCGAATTTAAAATCTAACATATATATACACATACACACAAATATATATACATATATATCAAACATATATTTCTATTGATTTGATTCTTAGTAACCTTATGAACAGTCTATATTTGTAATAGGAAAACATAACTCAAGATTACTAATTTTTAAGTTCTTATTTAAGTATTGGGCATAGAAAAAATAAAAAGATGAGTTTTGATAGCCTTGGGCTTAAAGACTATATGATTCCTGTCTGAAATTTAAGTGTTTGGCAATCAATCCCTTAAAAGTTAATCACTGAATTACTAAATTATTTATGATTGGGTTTCAGGCATACACTATTGCAACACCAATTTTTTTTTTATCAGTGTCTAATTTCCTCCACCAATGTACTCAGTTTCCACCTACCCACAAGCCTGCCTCTATGACAGGCACTTTTAAAATACATTTTTGTCACTATGGCTTGCAGTGCTATAGGCTTTCATGTGCAACACTTTTTATATATCCCCTACTTTCAGTACTCCCTCCTCCTCCTGGTTGGCCACTTCTGTCCACCATTATTGTACTGTTCTCTTCCCAGTTCTATTCCTCCTCCTCAACCATCAGCAAACACTGCCCTGATCATCCCACTTCCACTGCCCCCCCCGCCCCCCCCCCCCATAGAAGCTGCCCACTGAAGAACACAATTTCTCATTTCCTTCCTTCCTTCCTTCCTTCCTTCCTTCCTTCCTTCCTTCCTTCCTTCCTTCCTTCCTTCTTTCTTTCTTCGTCATACCAGGCGACACTCAGGAGTTACTCCTGGCTCTGCACTCAGAAATCCCTCCTGGTGGTGCTCAGGGGACCATGTGGGATGCTGGGAATCAAACACGGGTTGGCCACGTGCAAGGCAAACGCCCTACCTGCTGTGCTATCACTCCAGCCCCATATTCTTCATTTCTATTTTCTTTAGTCATTTTTTTTTTGCTACCATGTTTCTTTATATACTGCATGAGGGAGGCTATTCTAAGTCTGTGGTCTCCTTCTGACTAATTTCACTCAGCAAGATACTCTCCAGCTTCATTCAGCTGCAGCAAATTGCATGATGTTATTTTATCTTACAGCTGAGTAATATTCCATTCTGTATATGCACCATAATTTCTTTATCCAGTTCTCAGGCACTTGGGTTGTTTCCAGAGTTTGATTTTTGTGACTAATGCTACAATTAACATATGAGTAAAATTGTCTCTTCTAAGTAGTGTTCTTGGGTTCTTGGGGATATATTCAAAGAAGTAAAATTGCTGGGTCAAATAGAAACTCAATTTCTAGTTTTTTGAGGAGTGTCTATTTTGTTTTCCAGAAAGTCTAGGCCAGTTGACATTCCCACATGCAGTGAATGAGAGTCCCTTTCCCCCCACTCCCATGTAACACTGGTTGTCTTTGTTCTTTTTGATGTGGTCCAGTTTCTGTGGTTGAACTGATACCTCATTCTTGGGTTTTGGGTTTTTTTTTTGCGTTTTCCCAATGAATAGTGAAGCAGAGCGTATTTTTCCATATGCATTTGGGTTATGCATATGTTTTTTTTATTTGCGAGGAATTTTCTTTTCATCTCTTGTTCCCATTTTTTGATAGAGTTGGACTTTTTTCTTGTAAAGTTCTATCAGTACTTTATATCTTGAATATTAGCCTTTTATTAGATAAATGTTGTGAAAATATTTTCTCTCAATCTGTGGGGTATCTTTGTATTTTGGTCACTACTTCTTTGAGGTGTAGAAGCTTCTTAATTTAATGTTTATCTCTCTCTGTTTGCTTGAACAATGGCATTGACTCCATGCCTATTGAAACCTCTAGCTTCAATGTGGAGGAGGTCTTCCTATATCTTCCTCAGTGCAACTTATGGATTCAGGTCTGATGTCAAGGTCCTTAATCAATTATTGTTTGGCTTTAATGGCACATAACTTCTTCTTTGAATTTCATTGAATCACCGTGAGATAGTAACAAGCTTTCATGTTTGGGGTACGATCACACAATGATCAAACACCCATAATGGCACAAAACTTTTTTTTTTAATTTATTTTTTATTAGTGAAACACCATGAGGTACAGTTGTAGACTTACAAGTTGTTGTGCTTGGGTTTCAGTTATACAATGATCGAGTACCCATCTCACCACCAGTGCCCATTCTCCACCCCCACCAATCCCAGTATTCTTCCCACCCCTCCCATCCCCCATCCCACCCTGCCTCTGTGGCAGGTCATTCCCTTTTGTTCTATCTCTCCTTTTGGGTGCTGGGTCTGCAGAAGAGACATTGGGTGGCAATCATGTTCTGTCTATAGACTACTTTCAGCATGCATCTCCCATCTTGGGCAGATCTTCCCAGCACCCTTTATTTGGTGCTCCCTTCTCTATCTGAGCTGGCACAAAACTTTTCATTTGTTTTGGATGCATAGCCATGAACCAGAGAGATAGTAGAGGGGATAAGTCATTTGCTTAGACGCAGATGACATTGCTTCAAATTCCTAAAATCACATAGAATCACTTTCGTGCACAGAGACAGGGAGATTTCCTAAGCACAGTTAGGTGTTCTTCCCACCAAATTGAAAATCTTTTTAATTTTTAAAAAGTAATTTAGTAAATTAAATTTATTTTAATTAAATCAATTAATAAAATTTATTTTAATTAAATTAAATTTGCTCGAGCGGGCCCAGTAATGTCTCCATTGGAGACTTTGTTGTTACTGTGACTGGCATATCGAATACTCTCGGTAGCTTGCCGGGCTCTCCGAGAGGGGCGGAGGAATCGAACTCGGGTCGGCCATGTTGGCTGCGTGCAAGGCAGATGCCCTACCACGCAGCCAACATGGCTGATCCGAGTTCGATTCCTCCGCCCCTCTCGGAGAGCCCGGCAAGCTACCGAGAGTATTCCATATGCCAGACACAGTACCAACAAAGTCTCCAATGGAGACGTTACTGGGCCCGCTTGAGCAAATCGACGATCAACAGGAGGGCCTTTACTTACTTACTTTTAAATTAAATTAAATTAATTTAATTAAATTAATTAAATAAATTTTAATTAATGTATGAAATTTTGCCTCCTAGATAAAATGTGAAAAGATGTTTTTCATTGCCACAATGGGGTGCAGTTCTTGGAACACTAAGACGGTTCTAGAGTATCACTTAATCACTTAATCCCCGTTATTCATCGATTTACTCGAGCGGGTGCCAGTAACGTCTCCATTCATCCCGGTTGCGTGCTAGCGTAGCCCAATGGTATCTGTTCTTTCTAGGAACATGCAGAGCCTCAAACCGATCATTCAGGGTCTTGATGAAGAAGTCTGACCATCTTGTAGGTGGGCGTCCACGTGATCTTTTGATGTCCCATGGAATCCAATCTGTAATGACTCTAGTCCAGCGGTTGTCTGTAAACCTCATTACGTGTCCAGCCCATCTGATTTTTGATGTCTTGGCAAATGAGACAGCGTCCCTGATTCTTGAGCGTTGACGAAGATCAGAACTCCGGAGCGATAGCACAGCGGTAGGGCGTTTGCCTTACAAGCGGCCAACATGGCCGATCCAAGTTCGATTCCTCTGCCCGTCTTGGAGAGCCCGGCAAGCTACCGAGAGTATTCGATATGCCAAACACAGTAACAACAAAGTCTCCAATGGAGACGTTACTGGGCCCGCTCGAGCAAATCGACGATCAACGGGAGGGCCTTCTATCTCTCATTTGAGTGAATTGTGATATTCCAAGCATAGCTCTTTCGATTCCTCTTTGAGAGACCCGAATAGCGTTCTCATCCTGTTTTTGTAGGGTCCAGGTCTCTGAGGCATATGTTAATGCAGGAAGAACAGTGGTATCAAAGAGATGTGCTCATAGCTGGAGGTCTTTGTCCTTTCAGTTATTTCTTCAATGTTCTTGAAGGCATTCCAAGCTGCTCTCTTCCTCCTGCGCAACTCAGGTGCCAGGTCATTCATCATGTTGATTTCTCGACCTAGGTGTATATAACTGTTGCATTCGGAGATGGTGGTTCCGTTGAGAGTGAATGGAGCATCAGGAACAAGGCTGTTTCTCATAAACATTGTCTTCGTAAGATTCAGCTGTAGTCCTACCTTTCCACACTCACGGTCAAAGTCGTTCAGCATTTGTGCCGCTTGGCTGATGTTTGGTGTTATTAGAACGATGTCATCAGCAAAGCAGAGGTGGTGTAGTTGCCGACCATCTATCTTCACTCCCATGCTTTCCCATTCTATTCGTCGCATGATGTTCTCGAGGGTGGCACTGAAGAGTTTTGGTGAAATGGTATCACCCTGCTGAACCCCTCTCTTGATATGAATGATTACTTCTTTGTAGAATGGTGAGATCTTGGTAGTGAATCCGCAGTAGAGCTCACGAAGGATCCTGATGTATTGAGTTTGTATGCCCTGATTGGCTAGGGCTTCTATGACCTCTTCCGTCTCAACAGAATCAAAGGCCTTCTTTAAATCAATGAACGTTAGACAGAGCGGCATTTTGAACTCCCGAGAAACCTCAATGAGCTTAGTAATCGTGTGGATATGGTCGATGTTACTGAATCCTTTTCGGAATCCGGCTTGTTCACACGATTGTCCTTCATCTAGTGTTCTGCTAATCCTATTCAGGATGACTTGAGTGAACAGATTGTAGACGACAGACAATAGGCAGATTGGGCGATAGTTGCCAATGTCGTGGATGTCTCCCTTCTTGTATAGTAGTACAGTCCTCCTGGTTTTCCATTGGGATGGAATCTTGCATTCAGACAGGTAGCGTGTGAAGAGCCGAGCGAATGTATTGATGAGTACTGATGGTAAGTTCTTCAGGTGTTCAGGTCTGATCTTGTCTGGGCCAGGTGCTCTTTGTTTCTTTACCGACGAGATGGCATGTTGGATTTCGGAAGGGAGAACATTGGGAACGACATATCCATCATGTGGTATCTGGTATGTGAGCAAGTGGACGTGGCTATTAAAGAGATCTGAGTAGAAGTCATGAATAATCTTCTCCATTGCCCTTCTGGAAGATGTGATAGATCCATCATGGTGTCGGAGGGCAGTCATCTTGGTTTTGTAGTTGGTGAAGGACAGGCGGGCATTACGAATGCTTTTCCCAGCTTCTGCCGCATCTACCAGTACTGCTGTTCTCCTGTTTTTGAGGTCATCCTTGATGGCTAGAGTATATGACTATGAAATAATTTAGCATACTCTGTTGGCACCACTGCATATTTTCCTAAGTCTCTTTAGCTGTGAGGATTAAAATATGGATTAGACACATTGAAAAATGTAATTGGAGTTGGATACTTTTCCAGAGAATATATGAGAATCTAAAAGAGGAAACAGTTGAGTGGTAATTTATAGGGAAGCTATCTTTCTGTTTCTACTGCACATGAACATGGGTGCTTATGGGTTATAGTAGGACTCAGGATTTTCTAGAGTTAGATGCTGGAGGGAAGAAGAGGGGATTGGTAGTTGGAGAGTGGAGTTCATAAAACTTTGGGTTTTGCTAATGGAAATATCAATTTATTGACCCTAGGAATGGAGACTCATGCAGGTAACAAAAAATATTGGAAAAGATGAACTCAAATAACAGATGATTTAAAGTATCACATAAGCTATGTTGACATCTTTAAGAATAATGAATGGAGCATGCTCTATGCCCTCCATGGTTGAGAAGATTCACTAACCACCTCCTATAAAATGAAATAATTCTGTATTATGCTAGGGTATAGTTTATGGTGGGAGGTACAATTCAATTCAAGTAGTGAATTGATTCTTCCAATGGAAAAAAGCTGACGATGCTTCTTTAAAGTTTCATTTACTATATTAGAATGCAACATTTGGAGTAGGAGTAGTTCAGAGGAGTAAATAGAAGGGATTGAATAAGTTTCTGAGGTATTGAGTGTCTCAATGTAATTTCACTCAGAAAGATGCAGGGAGACCCATGGTCATATTTTATTTGAAACTTTGTCACCCTCAGTTCATGAAACCCCAGATACCTAGAATAATCTGAAAATCTGTTACACACACTAAGCTAACAATACTTAGCTAAAATTGTGGTTTTCCTCATGTCCTTTCACCACTTCACTATTCTGTTTAGTGTTCCTTAGCATTTAAGCATTTACCATTTTGACAACATAATTTTAAAGCCATAATTTTGAACTATAAGGAATCACTCATCTTGTTGAAAGATTGTCTGATTGTAATTCAATCATGAACAACTTTCTAACCACGTATCTCATGGTGAATCAAATAAAAATGTGCAAAAAAGGGGGAAAATATGTAAGATCCTACAGGAAGACAGCTTTAGCCCTTCATCCATTACATAAGGAAGAGATACACTACAACTGATACCTAATAGTCATGAAATTAATGATTACAGAGTATAACTTTAGCCTTCTCATTTTTGATCCAGTTTAAATCCAGGATAATATTACAATTATTAACCTGAAAGAGCCTCCAATCATTGGGAAAGACAAATAAGGAGAGGCTGCTTAAATCCCAAGGTTGGGAGGAATAGAGATGTTACTGGCACCCACTCGAGTAAATCAATGAACAATGGAATGACAGTGATACAATGCTACAGTGAATATTACCACCTATTGTGAGTTTAATTGTGTCACCACCAAATTAATATTCGAGTCACATTGAGGACTTCAGAGTATAGCTAATTATGAGTAGAGAAAGGGTTGGGTTGGGTGCTATTACAGGTCAGTGTTTCTTCTTCTTCTTCTTCTTCTTCTTCTTCTTCTTCTTCTTCTTCTTCTTCTTCTTCTTCTTCTCTTCTTCTTCTCCTCCTCCTCCTCGTCGTCGTCGTCCTCCTCCTCCTCTTCCTCTTCCTCCTCCTCCTTCTTTTTCTTCTTCCTCTTCCTCTTCTTCCCTCCTTCTCCTTCTCCTTCTCTTCCTCCTTCTCCTTCTGCCTCTCCTCTTTCTTCTTCTTTCTTCCTCTTCTTTTCCTTCCTTTTCTAATTATTCTTCCTCCTCTGTCCCTCTCCCTCTCTCTTTCCCTACCCTCATTGTCTCTCTTTTAGTAGTAATCAGTAAAAGTGATTATTATCCGTTTTGTTTTATTCCATGACTGTGTTGTAAAAATAGTCTTTAAAATCATTGTTTACTTTCTCCAGACAGAAATACAACTGATTGCGCTCCAACTAAAGCTCTTTGGGAGCAGTGATAGAGAGGGATGTTAGTAATTTCTGAAAAAAGAAGTATGACGTTCAATTGTTGACACTAGTTATGGTTAGGTTCAGCAATTTTTTGTCATAATTTCAGTGGAGTGGTAGAGTCTGGACAAAAGAGAAGAATTCCTGAAATAATCACGTGTTTACAAAATCATTGTGTCTATGTCTCTCTTTTGTGCCTATATTTCAAATTTTTTTAAAAGAACAACAGAATTAATATCAAAATTTCTACTCAAAGTAATGACACACCAAGCATGAATCTTTACTTATAGAGATTTTATGTTATTATGCATTGTTCTTTTTTATTTCTAAAAGATGGATCTGAATAAGACTGAGGAAGTAATACTGAAACTGGAAAGCCTTCATCAGCAACCCTATATCTGGGATTTCCTACTTTTACTACCAAGAATAAATGAAAAAAATATTCATAATGAAGATGACATTCATGTTATATTAAATTTTCTCCAGGCAGTGTTAAAGTAAGTAAAAAGAGCATCTCTAATTATGGATGATTTTATTTATCCTCTAAACTTTCAATGATAAATATATATATATGTATGAGTAATTATCTAATACAAGAAAAAATTAATAATGTCTCCCTGATGTTGCTGAAACTTTTGAATCTCCACTGGTGTCTTTTCTCTATGTGTATAGATATCTTACGTGAGTCCAATAATACTGTCCATAGCATATTATTTATAACTTAATATTAACATACTATATGTTTAGTCTTCAAATGATTTTTTTGTTTTTGGTCACATCCCAAACGATAATTAACAGGTGCTTAGTTCTCTATTTTGGCAAGCTTTCATGTATTCCATTTTATAAAAACAATGTTTATTGAGGTACCAGTATTTACAATATTATTAATTATTTACATGGGAACTCATTTCAACACCACAGTCATCTACTAGAGAGACTGCTTACATTCACCAGGGTCCCTCAGTCCCCATTCTCCCATGTAAACTCAGTTCTATAGATAAAATATTCAGTTAGATGTTTTGACCATTTGTTGTTCTCTTACTAGATTTCTTTTTATCTGATATTTGGGACAACACTCTCTTTTTAAAATGTTAATTCTGGAAGTGATCACAACTGCAAACATAAATGAATATCCTAAACTATCACAAATTTTTAAATCAAAAGAAAATTATTAAAGTAAATTTTTTCAAATATATCTATTTTCATATATATGTAAATTTAAAGAATGAATGTTATAAATTTTTTTGCCAATAAACATTAATATTTGCATGAAATAGATAAGCCCTACACATACAAAATTTTGTATGAGTGAAGAGAGTTAAAATAATTAAGGGGAGAATCTGAACAGGCCTACAGAAATACAAGAGTATGTTTTATCCTAAGAAAGGGGATACGAGGTTTATGTTAAAAATATTATAGATACCGCTTGAGTGTTTTTATTAAAAAGTAAAGAATTTTAATAAAATGTTTATGATATTAAAAATTGATCAGGTACATAATATTCCATACAAATAAAATGTTAATTTATTATAGTGAATGTATAAACTCCATTATCAGGGTAGGAATAAGCAGACCAAGTTTTCCTTTAGTTTTGGACCATACCTGTAAGGGCTCAGGGATTACTCCTAACTTTATGCTCAGGGATCACTTCTGGAGGTGCTCAGGGAACCATATAGAGAGCCATGGATTGAGACTGGGTTAGTTGTATGCAAGGAAGCCCCTTTGCCCACTTTGCTGTTGCTCAGGTCCCTACAAACCATTCTTAATTTAATAGTGAGCAGCTATAAGCTCTATGAGTGAATGCCATACTCCATGCCAAATGCTGAGGAGTTAGTCTGGCCTTTTAAAGAAACTCCTTTAACACTTCTTGCTGATTAATTCCAAAACTATACATTTAATAAGCTTTTTGCCTGTCCCTGAAGTTCTGTATTATTCCCTCAAATCTGAATGATAATATAGCTGGTTAGAGTGTTCTTGGTGAGGTGTTCATTTTGCTGAGTTTTTATAGTTTTATCTCTCAATTCTCTTCTGGCTTCTACTCTTTTTTTTTCTTTTTGGTCACACCCAGCAATGCACAGGGGTTACTCCTGGCTCTGCACTCAGGAATGCACATGGGATGCTGGGAATAGAACTTGGTTGACCGTGTGCAAGGCAAAAGTCCTAACTGCTGTACTTATCGCTCCAGTAGTCTTATTTCATAGATCTGTGAATCGTCTGAGCTTTTCTTTGTATATAATCTGATTTCCTTTATTATTAGCTTTCTTCTTTCAGTATTCTGTCTCTATCTTTTGATTTAGGCTTTCTGAATACAGTGTCTCTTACAGTTTTTCTAGTTGCATTTTTTTTTTTTGCTTGGACCCTTTGGCCCTTTAAGATATTGGTAGTGCCTGTATAACTTAACTCTGAAAGTTACTTTTTTAAAAAATTGAACCACTGTAAGATACATAGTTACAAATTTGTTAGTGATTGGGTTTTAGTTATATAATGTTCCAACACTCAACCCTTCACCATCATACATTTCTCACCACCAATGTCCCCAGTTTCGGACCTGCTCTTTCACCATCCAGCATGCCATAGGGCAGGCACTTCTCTCTCTCTCTCTCTCTCTCTCTCTCTCTCTCTCTCTCTCTCTCCATTTGAGAATTATGGTTTGCAATATAGATACTGAAAGGCTATCATGTATATCCCTTTACCTACATTCAGCACTCAGCTCCTGTTTAGACATCACTTCTGATTATCATTCTCATAGTAGTCCATTCTCTATTCTAAATGCCGTCTCCCTCCACCACTTGTGGCAGGCTTCCAACCATGAACTAGTCCTCCTGACCCTCCTTTCTACTGTTCTTGGGTATTAGAGTATTATTCTCATGATGTTTTTTAATATCCCCAAATGAGTGCAGTCATTCTATGTCTGTACCTCTCCTTCTGACTCATTTCAGTCAGTGTGATACTCTCCATATCTATTTATGCATTAGCAAATTTCATGACTTCTTCATTTTTACTGTTGAGTATGAAGTAATCCATTGTGTACATTTACCATAGTTTCTTTATCCAGTCATCTGCTCTTGGGCACTCGGGTTGTTTCCAGAATCTGGCTACTGTGCGTAGTGCTGCAGTGAACAAAGAAGTGCAGATGGGATTTCTGCTGTGTGTTTTTGTAACCCCAGGGTATATCTCCAGAATTGGTACTGCTGGGTAGTATAGAAGCTAAATTTCTAGTGTTTTGAGGAATGTCCATATGATTCCCAAAAGGGCTGGAACAGTCGGCATTCCCACCAACAATGAATGAGTCTCTTTCTCACAGCATCCACGCCAATAATGGCTGTGTTTGATCTTTTTGATGTGTGCCAGTCTCTGTTGAGTGAGATGATATTTCATTGTTGTTTTGATTAGCGTCTCCTTGATGATTATTGATGTAGAGCATTTTTTCAGGTGCTGTTTGGCCATATGTAATTTTTCTTTGAGGGAGTTTCTGTTCCTTTCTTCTTCCCATTATTTTGATGAAGTTGGATTTATTTTTCTTGTAAAGTTCTACCAGTGTCCTAGATATCTTTTATATTAAGTCTCATTAGATGGGTATTGGGTTAATAATTTTTCCCATTTCATCCATGGGTTATCTTTGTATCTTAGTGACCATTTGCTTTGAGGTGAAAAAACTTCTTAGTTTAATGTAGTCCAATATGTTTGTCTTTGCTTTTACTTGCCTGGTGAGTGGTTTCATCTTTGAAGATGCCTTTAGTTTCAGTGCTATAGAGATTTAACCTACATTTTCCTCCATGTAATTTATGGATTCAGATCTGATCTCATTCAGATCTCTGGCTTTTTTTGTGTGTGAGTCTTGCTAGAAGTTTATCAATCTTGTTTATTTATTTAAAGAACCAGTTCTTGTTTTTATTGATCTTTTAGATTTCTGTTTGGGAATACCCCTAGTTTCTAACTTTTATTATTTCCTTCCTCCTCCCTGGTTTCGCCTCATTTCTCTAAGATCTTAAGCTGTGAAGTCAAGTTATTTATGTGGGCCATTTCTTCTTTTCTGATGAAGCCTTGAAGAGCTACAAACTCTTAACACTCCTTTTTCTGTGTCCCACAAGTTCTGGTGTTTCATGTCCTTATTCTCATTTTTTTCCCAGGAAACTTTTTGGTTTCCTTCCTGAACTCACTTGTTGTCCAGAAGCTAGTCATTCAATTTCTAGGTGCTTGATCTGATTATCCATTTATGAGTGTGATTAACTTATATTTATCAGTGTATAATGGTCTGTAAATATGATAAGATTTCTATGCTGTAAATTTTAGGAGGGTAGGTTTTGTGTCCCAGCATATGATCTTTCTTGGAGAATGCCCCATGATGCACTGGGAAGAATATGTGGCCAACTTTTGGGGAACAAAAAGCCCAATATATATCTATGAATCCCTTCTCTTCCTTCTTTCAAAACCAGTACTTCTTGACTTTTAGTCTCATTAATCTATCAAGAGGTGACAAATCGGTGTGAAGTCTCCAATTACTATTGTGTTACTACTAATGTCCTCCTTTAAGTCTATTAGCAGTTTTTTTGGTTTCCTGGTCCCTCATTGGATACACAGGTGCTTAGGAGTATTATTTCTTCCTGCCATACATGTCCCTTGTTTATTAAGAAATGACATTCACTATCTCTTCTATCCTCTTTTAGCCTGACTCTATTTCACTGGATACTAGGGAGGCCAACCCAGGCTTTTTGAAGGACTTGATAGCTTGAAGAATTGTTTTCCAGCTTTCTACTTTGAGACTGTTTGATCTTACTATTCAAATGTGTTTCTTGTAGGCACAGATTGTTGTACTCAATTTTTAAATTGATTTTGCCTCTCTGTGTCTCTTAATTGGTGTGTTTAGATCATTGATATTGAGAGAGATTATTGTCATGGGGATCTTGTCCCATCTTTCTTTAGAAGTGTATTGTTTTTGTGGGGTTTGACTTGCCTTATGGTAGCCTCTTTAATTCTTTCAAATTTGGTTTTGAATTTATGAAGGTCCTGAGATCTTGTTTATCCATGAAGTTGTGTATCATTCCTTCAGATATGAATGAGAATCTAGCTAGGTAAAGTGTTGGTGAGACCTTCTTCATTAAGAAATTTTTACTAAATAACACCATTGACCTTAGGCCCAGTGTTTCATTAGATAGGTCTGTTTTAAATCTAAGGTACAATCCTTTGTATGTAATTTCCTTCTTTGATCTTGCTGCATTCAGTACTCTGTCTCTATCTGTGGTTTTCATCTTTCTGATTAGGATATGTCATGGGAGTCCTTTTTTTTTGAGTTTGTTTGTTTTTTTAATTTAAATACCATGATTTACAAAGTTGTACATATATAGTTGTTTCACCAATCCCATCGACAATGTAAACTTCCCTCCACCAATGTTCCCAGTTTCCCACCTATCCCCCAAGCCTTCCCTCTTTGCAGCCACAAACAAATTTACTTCATGTTGCTTGTTACAACAAATAGCAAATGGAATCATCAGAAAAT